ATGACATGCCTGAATTGCTAAGATTATTTAGGAAACAAATAGAAGAGAGGAAATTCTAAAGTATAAAAAAGAGAAATAATGAATTTATAAAAATTTTATATACACCTGCAAACGCATTGCCGTATTCGTATATCAAAATGCCAACGTTCAAAGTTACCAGCACAAGTACCGGGGTCATGCGGTAATACACATCTTCTGCTAGGATCATCTAAAGGTTCGTATCTGCACTCTTGACTACATTCTGCAATGAAATACCAATCAGTACTAATATCTCTATAAGAAGTTTTTTACACAAAAGCAGAAATTCAAAAATCAATAAACATTCATATCCTATCTTTTATCATCATATGTTACTAATAAATATATCATATGTTGCTAATAAACATACGTCACTAATAAATTTCAGAAAAAAAAAAGCAAAAAAAAAATTTCTCTAACTCGAAAATCTTTCAAATAATTTCACTAGAGTTCAAAAAAAAAAAAGTTCTGAATTCAGATAGACACAGTAAAGTGAACTTTGTTGAGTTCAACTAACATCGAAATGCTTTTTTGCTTAACAAAATATTTCTTTTCAATATTTCAACAATATTTTATCAAAAGAATCTTTAAAATGAATGGAATTTAAAAGAGATGCTAAAAGATAATTAATTTCTATCATGTATATCTCACTGATAAATATAATTAGCGATATTCTGTAATGATTATCAGAAGTTCAAATGAAATCAATGAGAACTGCAATGAACTAACATTAACTTCAGCCCAATTTTGGTCATTTGATAGTATTACAAATCAGTGCGGTACAGTTTATTGTGTAGAAAATTTGCAGGCTCTCTTTTTGTGCTGCATTTCTGCGCTTTAAAGCTTATCAGATTATCATGAATTTTTGAACTCTATAATTATTTACAAGTTTAGAAATAGTGGCACTGTGCGATGCTTGGTGATTTAATCAAATCATTCATTCTCTATTTTGTAAAATTTGAAAGAAATACCTTCAAATGAATCAAAATGATTTCCATTGCCCTCGCAACCACCATAATGAAATTCTCTACAACGATGTGCGTATCGATCATAGTACCATTTTATCGTGAACCCGCGATCTTCACAAGTACCTCTATCAGGATATTCATTACACCGGGCATTTTCCAACATTTCTTGACCTCCGATACATTTTATCAGTATAAGTATAACAGTACTTTTAAGCATTATTTCCAGTCTACTATTATAAATATGCAATACCTGAAATAGAATATTTAAATCTCTTATTGGACGTGAAGTTTTTTGTAAATTTCAACTGTAATTAAACTAATTAAATGTAATTAAATTAATAAAATTATACCAATTTCTAAATTTTTATGAGAAAAATTTTCGAATTTGAGAAGTTATTGTTTTCAATTTTAAGATGAAAGTAGAAATAGGGATAAAATGATAATAAGAACATTATTATGAATCTCAGAATACTTTAAAACTTTGAACTTAAATGTATAAAAAATTATATTTCAAGTTTCAAGCATACTGTTTTAGAATTTGCAAATTTCAAGAATGAAAGAAAAGAAGATAATTGCTGTTATTAATGTTACTTGTCAAACTAAAGAATTGCGACGACCGAAGTATATATATTTCCCATTTCTTGTAAGCATAGATTTTAGTAAAATATCTAAATTGTTTCCAAGAAAAATAATTTTCTGCTTATCAATTAACGGTGAATCTGTAAGTTTTATCTCAGACAACTGAGCTAATTAACAGGATGGTACTTCTGGAAGTTACTGATAATGATTGTTTTCACAGATGTGCTTATCATTAAGATTTCCATGAATACCGACGTCACATGCAAGATTTCCATGAATATTGTTGGCATCAATGAAAATTTTCACCTGGTAAACTTCACTATCCTCTCGAGAATTACAATTGAAAAAATTAATGTTTGGGCGGTTTATTTCTTGAAAAAAAATAACTTTGAATTTTAGTACACGAAAATTTTTAGTATTAAAAAAAGTATTTTGCTATCAAATATAAAATCAGAAAGAATTAAATTTAAGCCCAAAATATGATCTTGGAATGTTAAATGTAAAATCCATATAAAAGAGCATAAGAAGCTCATTGCATAAATTAACGTTAAATTCAAAAAAATGAAATTTTAGCGAAAAAAAAAACAAAACATTAGAGAAGATTAATGAATTGCTGATTGATTTTAAAGCAAACTTTTTTAAATCCATCAGGAATTATTAGTGAAAAATCAAATAACCAATAAAATTATCATTAAAAAATATATATTAATAGTAAAAAGTTTCAATTAGAAGAGAATTATTGTTTAAAAAGCTTCACCCTGAAAAAGATGGAAGAGAGGAGAAGGAAAAAAAAATGCAGAAATTCTTATCCCGTTTAATAGCTCTCCATCAGACATACTGCATTTCATAGAACAGCTGCCGAAGAAAGTATGTCCGATCAATTCAGTCGATGATATTCGCAAAAAAAAAAAAGAATCACTGATTTTAATTTATTCCTCCAAATTAGAAGCAATTAATTGCAGATATCAAAAATGATAGATTTGATAACATCGATTGGAAACGATTAGCAATGCATCACTTCAATATAAAATTAAGATAGCTTGATCTACGGAAACCTTTAAGCAATTATTTTCATCTATTGCATATGAAATACAAACCAAAATTTGAAAATATTACTAATTATTGTTGCAGTTGTTGTTGTTGAACTTTTCAAGTCAAGATTGGGCCGATTTTTCTAGATTTACAAAACAACTAACATGAAATCTTTTTTGTTCTCAACTTTTAGACGAAGATGAAATGTTTAAACAACTCCATCTCAATTTATAAGTACAAAAGTATCGCGCACGCCACACCATTTCAACTATATTTTAAGCATCACCTACTAATTTGCTTTATATAAGGAATCTTATAGCAAAACATCTAGTACCGATGTTTTGCTTTTTGTCATCTGCTTTGTAGAGAGCTGAGAGCTCCAGAGCATGTAGAAGGTAAATATCATCTCATGAGTTGCTTTCAAATGATTCAATCTGTAAAGAGCATTGAAGCAGCTCAAGATTTCATTCCGATGATGTGTTATTGAGATTCATCATAACCAAACAGCTACGGTACTATCTCTAACTCTTCAACTCTAATCACATACCGGTATGCGGATCTTAATTTCTGCTCAGTAATTATTTTCCTTGTAGATGTCATTTAAAGACATGGGATAATTCGGCTTTGCTGACAAACAGGATAGACGAGCATTCCTGACCACTTAAATTTCTGACATTTCGAGCTATTTTAAATATTTGTCTATAGCCTAAACCACATTGCTACTGAAATTTTTTCTTCTTCTGTTAAACTTATTATAATGTAATACACTGACTGGATTTTATGCAATTATAAATACAATTATTAAATAACAATATTCGTTATTATGATGAAGTCGGAAGCACAATAATATGAATAAAATTATCAAGATATGAAAGATTTTGTACCATCCAAATCAGAGGAGTTGTCTGGGGTATTTTAATACCATGAGAGATCACGGGTGATTGAGTTTCAATATTTACAGCTTTGAGTGCGTCAGCAACCGTACGTGCTCGATCTGACTCGTCAAAAGGCGTAATTAATGGTTGTTGAAAAGAACAGTCGACCTAAAAGAGACAAATTTATCACAAAATAATCAAATGCAAAAAATATAAATAAAATAATTCATTAAATTATAGGGCATTAAAGAGTGTCAGTAGAATTAAATCGACTTTTTACGATACAACATAAAGCAGATGGATTTTAAGATGCTTTGCACTACTTCATGCTTCAATAAACTGCAGAATATTTCCTGCCCATCTCAATATTTTCTGTCAAATGTCCACTAAAGGTAAACTAACAAGTTAGAAAAGTGTAATTACTTCGAAGCATTCGTAAAAAAATCAGTGTTACCTGGTAAATACGAATAGGAACATGTAGCATAGGTTCACTTTCACTAACTTCCATCAGTTTCTTATTTACAGCCCAAAATTCATCAAATTTGTCTGTAATGAAGTAACATAAACGCTTAAGTAATACAAGCAACAAAACAAAATCTTAAACAATGACGATAACTAACCATGAAGTATACTGCTCCACAACTGCCGATGTTCATCAACTTTCATTGAATTAACCACTCTAGCTTTGTGCTTCAGCTGATCAGCTTCCTTAACTGACTGAATATATGAGCTCTCCAAATCGTTACCCTTGAATCGCATCACTTCTTTCGGAGAGTCCTGACGTAAGTCATGAGTGAACTGATTCAAACAATGCATTTCTTTTTATTAATTTGTGTGGACTTCACTTTTTGTGCAGAGAACTTAATAATTACAGAGATCAGAAAAAAAAGAGATATCAGAACCACAGAAATAACAAACCTTCGTTTTCAGCACAATAGTCCACGGCAAAAGATCATCGGTTTTCAATAAATCAAACAAAACACCTACTGGATAATGCCTAAAACAATTAATTGAACTCCAGTCTTCCGAGTTCCAGAAAATTATATTTCATTCTAAACTTTAAGAAATCATTCAAACTGAACAGTAAAACGAAATGTATGAGGCGCTTCCTTGTCAAAACGAATGAATTACATTTCAAACTATATAAAAAGTAATGTAAAATATTCAAAGAAAAGAAAATGGACAAATACCATTTCAGTGGTTTAGTATTATACCGTAGCCATACTGAATCTGCATCAAAATGATCAACGACAGCTACAAAGTACTGCAACACCCGTGGTAAAATAAGAGGGAAATAACTCATGCCTGGAACCATAACCTAAAAATGTTAAAACGTTCTCAACCCTGAAATGAAAACAAAAACGATGGTTTTATCAGTCATAAAAATTCTTGATTTGTCGTTGCATAAATATACTACCACCTGCATAAGCGGTTTCTTTACTGGCCTTGCTGGTGCCTTTTCACCGTATATTTCACGTCATTTCATTTCATATTTCAAGATATAATCTCGAAATATGAAATGAAACTTTGTACCAGAAATACACCATTTTACAATAAGTGTAGATATAGCATCAGCGACGAAACATAATGGTACCACCAAAATGTATATTTCAAAAATTTTCGTGCAAAATTATATTCCAGAAAAAAAAAACAAAACCCAAAGAAAAAAACAAAAACTAACACAGTATGGTTTGGCCGAGCATTGGATGAATTCCAGCTTATCGAGAATAAATTGCACCGGAATACGCCCATCCCATAATTTCCTGGTGACCTCATAATCCTGTGTCATCGATCCTAAAGTAGCAATATATTAAACAAGAGAAGGTAATAGAGGAAAATAACTGAACTGATACATTCTATAAGTTAATCATGATCACGATCAACCACCACCTCCTGTATGACTTTACTACAACTGTTCTTTCATCGACTAAAGTCATTTACGGTAAGTCTTTTAAATAAACAAGCCAATTAAGATTGATTCAAATCTAACCATCTAAACAAACATACCCCCACATACCACGTAACACACGCATTCTACACCAACCAACAAACACAACACGCGCGAAACAATATTGTATCACGATGATTGGGTTGTGATGCAAACATTTATCCGAAATGCTCCTTTATAGAGTAAATCTGTTGCTGATTTTTTTTTTTTGTTTGAGAAACAAACAGTCTCGACGAATTACAGCTGGCTAATTTTTATACTGAAAGACAATTTCACCGCTATTTTTACGATTAACTACTGTTTTATACAATCAAGCAAAATGCAATTGTATTTTGCTAAAATTGCTATCAACTAAATTATTATTAAATATTTTTTTAGTGAAATTTTAAGCCTGAACAATTTCAGTCAATTCTAATAGTTTTAATCAGTTCTTTTTATTCACCACTTTTCTGTTGACAATCGTTACTGTTCCTATAATTTATTCATAATTCATAAAGTTTAAATTTGTTTGAATCGTAATTTGTGATGAAAAAATTCAAGAAAAAAAAAAGTATTCCTCAAAATTTTTACATCTGTACTTTTTCATTTTGCAATTTTATATACGTTTGTGTGTATGTGTGTGTGTGTGTGTGTGTGTGTGT